GATGATGCATCCGCGCTCGTAGCTCGCAAGGGAGGAGACCGGACAGTAACCGCCGGACCTCCCGGAGGCGCCCCTGAAGGACCCAGGGGAGTCGCCACCACACCCAGCCAAGTAAATGGCAATCAAGCTCGTGACCTGGGTGACGCTGGGTATTGGAAGAGGAGGAGCCTGGAGGATCTCGATTGATCTGACATCCGTTCAAAGGGCGCAGTATTAGATCCAGAATGATATGTAGTGCGAGTCGTAGACATGGTTACCGTGTACGAGTTGCAGTCGTGATATGAAATACATTATTGTTATGGGTCATTTGCACATTACGGGCGCTAATGTATTGGCTCTGAGTAAGCGACCACCAATAGGGTGTTCTCACACGACCACCATATCCATCCAAATAGTCATGAAGCTCCCTTCTCTTCTTGCTCCTCTACTCTCATTCAACTCTAAGCAACCCATCGCACCGTCTACAGCTTCCCACCACAGCGTGATGCTATCCCTGACGAGTCTGGATACGAACACGAGACCGAGGAAAGCCCAACAAGAACAACAACACATCTTTCTTCCGCGCTTGGCACCTGGAGGCCCGAACCGGAGGGGCAAAAGTCCGGGCAGCACTGGCCAAGCAGAAGAAGAAGAGGCTTGAGAAAGACAAGGCCAATGATGCCAGGGCCAAAGAGAAAAGACAGAAAGACCAAAAGGAGAAAAAGGCAGAAAAAGCGGCGAGACAGGAAGGCGCAGCTGGCTTGAAAGCGAAGCAAAAGGAGAAGAAGAAGGCCAAGCGCTTATCCCGGCAGAAGAGACTGGAAGAGCGAAAAGATACAGGGGATAAGCAGGAAGGGCCCTCCGATTCCCAGCCCACTGTCCCTGTGGCCCAAGTATCTGCTGAAGAAGACAAGGGACCGACTACTCCGGTCCGTGATTTGGGCGAATCCAGGATGGAGATCCGCTGGCCAATTAGATCGCATATTCCTCGCTCTGTGGATGACTATGAGTGGGATGGGCATTGGACGAGGAGCCTCGAGGAGCTCGACTGATCAGCTCACATCTTAGCGACAGGGAGATGTATTTGGTCGAAGGCATTAGTTGTTGAAGTCGTGAGATGAGAGAGAAGTTCCTTCTCTCATCCAAGTACGGTTGTTCTTGAGCCTTACATATCGACTCGGGTGTCACATGCCTTATCAGACTGACTCGACTTCTGATTTGGTCAGGATGAAGGGAGGTGGATCAGATTGACGTGACCACAGTACTTGATAGACATACATACTGTAAGAACGCGCACAGCTCAACACCTCCCAAATGTGCACCTCGACCACGCAAACCAGAGGCTGTTCAACTTTCAACTACTATATACAAGGAAGAATGGATCCCTGCCATCCTGTAGGATCTGTTCAAGGTAAGATGCAGCACGGCCGACGACGTCAACACTCGTCCGTCGAGTTGTTTGTGGGAGGACAAGAAGTTGGTCGAAATATTCTCGCTGTTCGACAGCCCACAGTCTGTGATATGCAAGCGCTAGGCGGCAGTCCTGACTGCTCGCAGTCCAACTGAAGCCAACTAGGCGCGACCAGTGCGAAGATTACACCCCATATGATTGGACTATTTCTACCTATGACAAAGAGGCGGTCAAACCCAAGGAAATGGCCCACTCAGCAGCCACAAACATACACCGCACCCAACAGTCAAAATGCCTCGTGTCTCCCTGCAGGATAATTCAGCGCCTTCATCTGCGCTGGTGTCGGGCCTGCGCCTTTGGGAGGAGAGATCCCGAGCGGCGGTTCTCCTCTTGCGAAGCTTTCTCCTCGTGCGAAATTGACCCCTCTCCCTGCCCCTGCTGGGATCCCGGCAGCAGGCGCGTGCCTCGACTTGCTCGCGTTGACGGTTTTCACTGTTCTTGGACCATACGCTCCCTGGTTATCGTCGCTCTCCTCCTCTTCCTCTTCCTCTTCCTCTCCGTCCATCTCTTCGTCGTCCCCCTCTTCGTCCATCATCTGCATCGTATCCGCCACGGGCGGTAATGGAGGCGGAGGCGGTCCACCTTGCGCATACATCTGCACCGCAGCAGCGTTGAGGCCCATGACGTTGGCGAGGTCTCCGGCTGGGAGATGAATAAAATCCTGCACCGGCGGGATAGGGAGCATGATAGGCGCAGCACCGGGGATATTTATGGGTAGAGCCATCTCCCGCGGTGGAAGAGGGAGCGTGTCCGTCTCTCCCGGAATCGATAGGATCGGGATTGGATTCTTCAAACTGCGGATGTTCTTCGTCACAGAGCGGTATACACCCGCGGGGACACGTACCCGCGCGAGCGTGCGATCCTGCTCGATGGTGGGGATCATGTCGAGCTCGGACTTGCGCCAGTAGCATACAAGATGCCAGCGTCTTGGTGCTGGGTCGGTGGCAGACTGCACATCGGCTGTGTACACCTGTCGTGTCATCCCATTGGGTTTGATAGGCACATCAGGGCGACGCGATGGCCTGAGGTAGGATGTTCCCTTCGGTCGTCCAAGGTTCCTATCTGGTCGTCTGCGCTGCATCAGCACAGCCCCAGCAACGACAGGCCAGACTCACGTCTTAGCGTTCTTCCTATCCTGATTGGGCATGTCCCCCCTCTCCTCGAATATTTCGAAAGGGTTGATGTTGAGCCCCGGCCTCCAACGCACACTGTCGTCCCATCGTTTGATGGCATGCGGGTGACCCTCCACCCGTTCCCAAACGTATACCGATCCGTTCGCTCCCAGTTCTTTTCGCTGGGCAGGGGTGAGTCGACGGTTGACGAGCGGGAGGAGGCTGGTGGAGAAAGAGGAGGGAAGACAGAGAGATTAGCGCTCAAGAGTGGCGAAGAGGGTGGCGCTCCTTCGCGCGGGGGTACTTACTCCATCCTCACCGCCTCCATAATCACGTGCGCGTCGTGGGAGTTTCTCACTCCTTGCATGAGATGAGTGCGAGCTGGGTCTGAAGGGGAAAAGAGAGGGAACGCACGGAGACACGCGTGGGTGGGCGCGACGGGGCCTGTGTCGTCTTCCTTCGGGTGAGCGGGGGCAGCAGCAGCAGCAGCGATTGCTGCCTGTTGAGCAGGTGAAGGGTAGCCGTCGCCTTTATTCTTCCCCATATATATATATATATTCCAGATACGATAAATAGCTAGGACGAAGAACAGGAGATGAAGAAGAGGTGTAATAGTTGTAGAAGTTGCAGGAGGAGGAGAAGGGAACACAGAGAGCAAAGTGGCGGGTGGAGGAGTGGCGAAATCCTTTCCCCCCTGAACGGAGCTACGGCCCGGATTAACTACTCATTCACTCCGCCAGGAACGGGAGAGGCCTGACTAATCAGAGCGCGTTTCTAGTCACTTGCCGAATCGTCGGTTGCGAGTCATGACAAGTTGTTGTGGTGGAAATTGGCACATGGGTTGCTGTCAGGTAAAGGGAAGATGATTGTTGCTTACACTGTTGGCGCCACTATGGTGGCGAACAAGCCTAGCGGTCCTAGAGGTCCCACGCAGCATAAGATCGATCTCAAAAAGCAGTATTCTTCATTTCATTACGTCGATACAAATCTTCACAGCACACTGGGTGCGGCGTCTATAACGAGTAGAGATCGGTTAGGCGAGAAATCAGCGGTCAAACAGGGCATATGAAACGGCGGAGGAGAGGACGGGGCGGGAGGGTAAACCAGAACGGGTCATAACATGGCAGTCGGGCGTCCTGCAATATGTTCAGTGACAGACCTGTGACGGCGGGTGAGCAACATACCTGAAATGAAATGGCAGCATGAGCCTACAACTTGAACGGTGTCTGAGGATATTCTGTCTTCGCAGCTGCGGCGTCGTCCACGAACCAGTAGAGCAGGCCCGGCTGGACAGGGCGAACGCGGGAGCTCGGGAGTCCTTGCTCCGGCTGATCAAGCGTGACGTGGAGCATCTCCTGTTTCTCCACGCCGGTAGCGACGAATGCACACTTGTGTGCGTGGTTGATCACCGGGTAGGTAAAAGTGATGCGCGCAGGGGGATCCTTCGGGGAGTCATCGATCCATGCGACCCAGCGATCAGACTCGGTGAGCAATTCGTGATTAGGGAATAAAGAGGCGGTATGCCCGTCCGGCCCCATACCGAGCAGGATCAGGTCGAAAACGGGGAATCGGGCTGTTTCACGATTCGCAAACTCGGTGATAAGCTCCTTCTCGTAAGAGTCACAGAGCTCGTCAAGGTCGTCCAGCAGGTCGGCGTCGATAGGGTGCACATTCTGCGATGGGATGGGTACTTTGGACAGCAGCTCGGTTTGGATTAGGTGATAGTTCGAATCCTCATTGTCAAGAGGAACTACGCGTTCGTCGACAAAGAAGACGTGCCTGGAGAAGCCGATAACAGACCGTCAGTGAACAACAGCGCATCAGGGTCTCGCACTATTTAAGGTCACGCACCACTTGTCCCATCTCACGACCTTGTTGCCCAGCAAGCCATGCAGCTGCTTGGCGAGCGAACCCCCAGAGACGGCCATTGTGAACCTGTCACGCTTGGCAACGGCCTCATTCTGGGCTTTGATGATGAATGCGGCGAGGGCGGGTGCGATGTCCGCCGATGTGGGGAAGGTGTAGAAAATGGGTGGTGCGGGTGGTCCGTGTGGCATTTTGCCGTTTGAGGAGCGGGTTCGAATTGGGATGGTGGTGGTTAAGGATGAGGATGGGATTGACAGCGAGGTAGAGTGACAAGGACAAAAGAGGAGCAGGAGTAGAGCACGTTGATATTCCGATAGTGTATTCAAGCGAGATTGAGCGTTCACCCCCGAGGTATTTTAACCCTTGCGAATAGGTAGTTGATTACCCGAGAGCGGCGGGACAAAGTGAATAAGATGGTGGTTGAGTGGATGAAAAGGGAAAAGGGAAAAGGGATAGGTGGATGATTATCCGGACCAGTCGCCTCTCTAGTTTGGTCGCTGGACACTTGCCTCTTGGCTGTGCCCTGCCACCCACAAGCCCTCTCTCTCTTGTTCCTCCCAACCGAAGAACGTGGCTGCCCAACGGGGATGACGTCGCCTCCTTTTGATTCCGTAAGGCGTTATCATCCGTTCCCGCAGGACGCGCATGAAATACATCGCAACGCAAGTGGGAGCTTCACGTAGATGAACAGCATTGTTCAAAGGAAACGTGCAGAGTGCGGGGATTGCCGGGGGGGAAGGGGGAGGGATTGGGTAGTGCCTTGGGGTTAATATAGGGCATCCGCTCCATGTCCGCTGAGTAATTATCCTACCCCGCCACATGGACAGGTGAATGCCATTCGGATACTAGTACATTGACAATCCAATGCATCTACAAATGGATACAACAGCTGTTCTAGCAACATATTAGTGAAAGCATTGATTGGTTGATGTAGTCCAACAAACACACTGACTGAGGTTGCTTGACACGATTCACATGACTCACGGAAACAAATATTCGGCCTCTTTAGTCGTACGCCTCTCTCCGGTCTACCGCTCAGCTCTCTCAGGCTCTCTTCCCCGCCGCTCCTTCTTCTCTAGAGTTGCTCGGTCTGGTCAACAAAAATGAACGTCTTGTCAAACCTCGCTTCCCGGATGCTCGGTGCGTCTGTTTCCAATCACTGACATGGCGCATGCTGATCCCGTCATCTTGTTGTATTGCGTTCGGTTCGCCTTGTCAGTGCCGGCGATCATTACCCTCGGAGCGGTCCAAGCGAGCTTGTATGATGTTCCCGGCGGGTACAGAGCAGTTATGTTCGACCGTTTCTCAGGTGTGAAGAATACCGTGCGTCCTCCTACTGCATGCTCCGAGAGGTGTTGAGAATGATGTTGATAGGCGACGGGAGAGGGAACCCATTTTCTTGTTCCTTGGCTGCAGCGCGCGATCCTGTACGACGTCCGTATCAAGCCAAGGAACGTCTCCACTACCACCGGATCCAAAGGTGCGCTCTTCTCCCTCCTCCGTATGCTCTCAGTCCGCTGATGTCCTCCGGTAGATCTTCAAATGGTCTCTCTGACACTGCGTGTCCTCTCTCGGCCGGACGTGGACCACCTGCCCAAGATCTACCAGAACCTCGGGCTGGACTACGACGAGCGTGTTCTCCCCAGTATCGTCAACGAAGTGCTCAAAGCCGTTGTGGCAACATACGACGCCTCAGAGCTGAGTGAGTCGTTTTCTCCTGTTTGGGATGGAGCTGATGTTGGTTAGTCACACTCCGGGAGGTGGTGTCAAGCCGCATACGAGAGGACCTCCTCAAGCGCGCAAGCGAGTTCCATATCCTTCTGGAGGATGTATCTATTGTACGTTCTTGCAATCCCCGTTGCACGTTCCTCACACTAATTCCTTTTGCAGACACACATGACGTAAGTGATCAGAGATCCATACAGGCGATGTGCTCAGACTGGAATAGCTTCGGGAAGGAGTTCACGCTGGCTGTCGAGCAGAAACAGATTGCCCAGCAGGGTACGTCCCCGTTTATTTGGATAAGCCTGCTTATTGACTGTACCAGATGCTGAAAGGGCAAGGTTTATTGTTGAAAAGGTGCGGTGTGGATTCATGTAAAGGTCGTAAGATTACTCATAGTCCGTTAAGGCTGAGCAAGAAAGGCAAGCAGCTGTCATCCGAGCGGAGGGCGAAGCGGAAGCGGCCTCCGTGATCTCCAAGGCGTTGAGCAAGGCGGGCGAGGCGTTTGTCACCTTCCGCAAGATCGAGGCAAGCAAGGCGATCGTTCAAGCTCTCGCGCAAAAGCGGGATGTGACATGGATCCCGGGTGGTGGGAACGGTACGGGAGTGTTGTTGAATGTTCCTACTAGCCAGCAGTGAACGATGTAATTCTTTGGATGATAATATAGCACCCCCCCTCCTGGGCGAATGAGTCTGAAAGTATTGACTGTGTTTGTTAAAGATATATTTTAATTCTAATTATGTCCGCGGCGGCCAGCCCATGTGCAGCGGTTGTGGGAAGCGAGCGGGATCAAAAATACCACACGGAGAAACTTTCAGTTTTGAAGAGCGCATACATGCATACATCGGGGTATAGAGGCAGTCCGCGTCGTCTCCCCACCCTTGCTCATCGTTCTTCTCTCTCTCCTCGACGTCCACCATCCCCCTCCTGCAACAGACAGATATATCATTCTCATCCATCCTCCTCTCTTCTTCTTCTTCTCTCTCTCCTCTCTTCTCTTTCTACATCTCTGTCGCCCTCATTCTATCACTCTCCTATCATCATCTCTCTCTGTCTTTGTGGTGTCTTTGCACTCTCGCTTCTCTCCATCATCCACCTTGGGCACCAGGTCATCCAATATCCAGTGCGTCATATACATCATCACACACCCAGGCATCCCATCACTCACCTAGGATCGCTCTTCCACGCAGCTTCTTCTTGTGGTTATCAAATAAATAATGGCTCTCTCTCCCGCTCAGGCACCCGTGCGCCCTTTCCCCCTTTCGCATTCCACAAACTGACATTTACCATCTTTTTCCTCGCTATTTATGGATATTTCCCAACACACCAGCGCCGTGCCCATCTTTACGTCGGCAACTTGTCCCCGCGCGTTACGGAGTACATGCTCACCGAGATCTTCGCCGTCGCCGGGCCAGTCCAGCACGTCAAGATCATCCCGGACAGGAACTACCAGCACGGCGGTCTCAACTATGGCTTTGTCGAGTACACGGATATGCGCTCTGCTGAGACCGCTCTGCAGACCCTCAATGGGCGCAAAATCTTCGATACGGAGATTCGCGTCAATTGGGCATATCAGGGTCAGCAGAACAAGGAGGACACATCGGGTCACTACCACGTCTTTGTCGGAGACCTTAGTCCAGAGGTGAACGACGAGGTCCTTGCTAAGGCCTTTGCTGCCTTCCCGACTATGAGCGATGCTCGTGTCATGTGGGACATGAACTCGGGCAAGAGCCGTGGTTATGGTTTCCTCGCTTTCCGCGATAAGACCGACGCGGAGCAGGCGATCGCGACTATGAACGGTGAATGGCTTGGCAGCCGCGCCATCCGTGTCAACTGGGCCAACCAGAAGACACAGGGTGCCCCCGGCAACGGAGGGATGCCCGGCATAGGTGGAGGTATGGGCATGGGCGGTGGGATGCCCACCGGCATGCCGATGGGTATGCCGATGGGCGGTATGCCCGCCATGAGCCCGATGGGTGCTGCTCGGCCTATGGGTATGCCCCAGCCTGTCAGCTTCCAGACAGCCCCTGTCTCGTACGAGCAAGTCCTCACCCAGTCCCCCGCGACGAACAGCACTGTCTACGTCGGCAACCTCGTGCCTTTTGCAACCCAGGCCGACCTCATCCCGCTCTTCCAGTCCATTGGCTACTTGAGCGAGATCAGGATGCAGGCTGACCGTGGCTTTGCGTTTGTCAAGCTTGACACGCACGAGAACGCCGCTACCGCTATCGTATCTCTTCAAGGTCAGATGATTCACGGTCGCCCCATCAAGGTATCCTGGGGCAAGGACCGTAATGCTGGAGAAGGCGCGACCCCACAGGCCGCATCGGGCGGCACGGGCTCCCCAGCAGCAGTGGCTGCGTCTCCCGGCGGCGCCGCAAACCCGTACGGCAACATGGTCAGCATTCCTTTTCCCGCCTTGTATGGCTCGCCGAGAGATGATTTGCTTACCAATTCCTTTCATCCTCCTTTTCTCACGCATATGCATTTTTTCTCGCCACAACCTCATCCTAAACCATACCTGCAACCGCTGGCGGACGTTGATACCCTATACACGCAACCCATCTACGTTTCATACCCTTCTCCAAACTCCCTCAAAATGGACTCCGCGTATAACCCGGATGATCCAACCGGTGATTCGTCTTTCGACCCGTTCAAATCCGACGAACCACAGGCCATGTACGGCATGAACCCCAACTACAGCCAGTACAACTTTGCAGGTTATCCGGGCTTCCCTACTATGCCTAACGTACCTGGTCAGCAGGGTGCCCCTGGCGCTGGCAACCCAGGTGGTGCTCCTCCCGGCGGTGCGCCCACGGCCGATGCCGGTGTTGGCAACGGCGCGGCGGGTGCCACCTCGGGCATGAACGCGGTGGGCCAGGCGACTTGGGGCTCAGATCCTAACGTCTTTTATTCTCAGTATTGGGGCGGTGAGTCATCTTCTTTCGAACAGATCAATGTCCCGGCTGACAGATGATGTAGGTTACTACGGACAGCCCGGTCAACAGCCGGCTACCGGAGCGACCAATGGACAAAACCCGCAGCCGGGCGCGTAAATCAGGTTAGATAGATGTCCCGCTAGAATCATTTGTCTGCTGTGTTCTAAAGTCGCCTCACACAGTGCATCACATTGTTCTTGCCATGCCATTGTACAGTTGACCTCGTCGGCCTCTCAATCGAACCTATCACGTCTCAGCTACACGACCCCTACCGCTTTTGTCGTATATTTTTCTTCTCAGCTCAGCTCACCTCGATTCGCCCGTTTTCCCCATCGCTGCTCAAAACGCGTCGACTTCCTTTCCGGGTTTTATGGGTTCCAGTGCAACGTCCTCCCGTCTCTGATATCTGTTTTTCCCTAAAGAACCCATCCTCCCCTCTCCTCTCCTCTTCGTTCGCCTGTATGCCTCATGACATCTCGTGTCTGTGTCGTCTGTCTTTACGCTCACTGCAGTCTAAGCAGTTCTGTGTTTATGTTCCTCCGAGTTAGTTACCCTCTTCACCCTTGAGCCCCTCTTGTCGTTGTGCTGTGCTGTACATCCTCTGTGTCCGTACTTTCGTACGTCGTCCTTTGCTCATGCCTGTCAATAGTCAAGAAGGTTTTCCATTGCTCAATTCCAGCCATTTACCGCTGACGCCCTCGTCACTCTAAATAAACAGACAATTAGGTTACTCAGCACCTCTGCGCGACGTGGCGACCGAGGCTAGGGAGGCGGATGCTTTCAGTCATTCTTCGGCGTTTCTGTCCCCCTCTCCGACAAGTGTCAGTTCACAGTGCACGCGACTTGGCTGTATGGCCCATTACTCTACTCTCATTGTTCTCTTCGCACGTCCATGACATCCTCATCGTCTCCGAATACAACTGCTATAAACCCCGTTAACAACGGCAGACCACGCCAGAGGCGTAAGAGCAAGAAGAACGGCGCTCTACAGGCTGATATCAAGCAGGAAGAAGACCCAGACGCCGACGTAGAACGCACACCATCCCCGGATAACCCCCAATTAAGCTCCTTCGAAAAGAAGGACGACATGGCCAGCGTATCGATCGAGACTACTCAGCCTGGTTCGCTCCAGACTACAGCGGTAAAGGTCGCACAAGCGCATGCGGGCAAGCGCGCTTCCTTCTCCAGCGGGTCGGACGACGGGTACGGGGATGGAGACGGTGTACAGATGCATTTGCTTGATCATGCAGAGCAGGGCGTGGATGGGAGAACGGATCTAGATACTATTAAGGAGATGGACGAGCATGAGAAGGAGCGGATGGCGCCTCTGACAAGGGAGGACAAGTACGCCATTGGGCTGCTCATCATCTTATGTGCGTCATCTACGTTCTGGACGCGAGCTCGGAGCTGATCAGATTCAGACTTAATACAAGGGATTCCCATCGGTCTTGCATTTGGCTCTATCCCATTCCTGCTCAAAGCCCGTCTATCGTACTCCGAGATCGGCGTGTTCACGCTATGCACCTACCCATACTCGCTCAAGCTCTTCTGGTCCCCTATCGTCGATTCCGTATTCCACCCCGGACTGGGGAGACGAAAAAGCTGGATCGTGCCGATTCAGACTATCATGGGCTGTCTCATGATCTGGATGGGAGCGAATGCCCAAGCGCTGCTGGACGCTGTGAGTGCCTTCACCTTCCGATTTCGAGTTTGTATTCAACCTATGCGTAGCCCGTTCCGGACGTGACTAAGCTCACCGCCATATTTACCACTCTCGTTTTCTTCGCCGCCACGCAGGATATTGCTGTTGATGGTAATTTTCTCTAATGAACCTTGTACCCTGCACTTACAAGGGTGCAGGTTGGGCGCTTACCCTTCTTTCCAAAGAGAACCTTTCCTACGCTTCCACGTGCCAAACCATCGGCCTCAATTCTGGCTACTTCCTTTCCTTTACTGTATTCCTAGCGCTGAACAGCGTTGAATTCGCGTACGTCCTTTTCACCCTCTCGACCCCCATGTTGCTCATCTCTCCGGTATAGAAACAAGTACTGGCGAAAAGAACCGTCCGACATACCCCTGCTTTCCCTGGGCGCATACCTACAGTTCTGGGGCATAATCTGCTTCTGTGTCACTCTTGGGCTGTTGTTCCTCAAGAAAGAAGAACCGCCGCATGAGGACAGTGCCGATCTGAGCCTAGGCAAAGTCTACAGGATCATGTGGCGGATATGCCAATTGAAGCGTATGTCTCCTTCAAATCTCTAGCTCGCCGCTCACATGTTGTCACAGACGTCCAATCCCTCTGCCTCGTCCACCTTGTCTCAAAAATCGGCTTCCAAGCCAACGACGCCATCTCATCACTGAAGATGGTCGAAAAAGGTCTAGGAAAAGAAGATCTCGCCATTGCGGTGCTGATCGATTTCCCCTGCCAGATAGTTGGTGGGTGGCTCGCCGCCCGCTGGTCAGTAGGCTCCCACGCTCTCAGACCATGGCTTTACGCCTATTGGGTCCGGCTCGGCTTCTGTCTCGTCTTCGTTGGGATCATCTACTGGTGGCCGCAGCCACCGCTCACAATGAGCTTCTTCGCGTTCTTGGTGCTGATGAGCGTGCTTTCGAGCTTTGCGGGCACGATACAGTTTGTGGGCGTGTCGGCGTTCCATACTCAGATTGCGGACCCTGTCATTGGCGGGACTTACATGACGGTGAGTTTTCTTCATGTGCTGTGCCGATCTAGTATTGACGGACGTTGTCAGCTGCTGAACACCGTATGTGTTGTCTGCATTATACGTGAAACTTGCTAAAGATGTACAGATATCTAACCTAGGCGGGACGTGGCCACGCTATTTTGTACTCAAAGGCGTCGACCTCTTCTCCGTGGCGACATGCTCCATTCCCCAAGGGGAGGACAATATCGTCTTACAAGGTACGTTGCGCGCGTTTGCTTTTGAACATAGCTGACAGAAAGCTAGCGAGTGAATGTGTTTCGGAACATGGGATGGCGCAGTGTAAGGAGCTTGGAGGAACCTGTATCACCGAGAGGGATGGGTTTTACACTGGTATGTCCTTTCCCCCCTCCAAACGTATGATTGACCTTATCGCACGCAGTCTCATGGATATGCATGACGCTGGGTGTCATCATTTTCCTCGCTTACATCGGTCCCGCAGCTCGGCGGTTACAAGCCGTTCCCCCGCAGAAATGGAAGGTGCATACGGGGTGAACCGCGGCTAGTAAATGTCACAAGCCTGTACTGTTAGATGGGTAGTATACATCGTGAGGTATATCCTTTGGAATGGTTATCATGCTGGTCCCGAGTATCTCCCACGGATAGGTCACCAATCCCGGATAACCTTGTAGTTCCTTTCCAGATACTCTTTGAAGACCCTCTACACTGCGGTCAGCCCTCTTCAAGTTTTGACGAAAACGATGGCAGCACTCGCCTCTTTTTTATACAAATCCCTGGCAGTGTCGAAATCTGCTACTTCTTTATCCTTGTGCCACTTACTGTCCCGAAGTTGGGCCTTGAACAGCTTATTCTCCGCATGTCGATACAGCAGCCTCGCAAGATCTAGCTTCATATATTCCGGGTACATCTTCAGTTCATCCCAGCTCCGAGGTACGCGCACAGGAGGGTAGTTCTTCGGTTGCGGATCAGCGATAATCTGCTCGATCTTCTTCTCCTTCTCCAGTACCTCCCGCCAATAGGTCTCGTTGACGATCTGTTCTATCCTGCGCCACCTCCGATCTAGGACCTCTTTCTCGCGCGCTTTCTCCTCTTCTACTGCGGCGAGTAGCTCAGAATCGGACGTGTCCCGAGAGGGGGTGGCGAGGAACAGCTGACGTTCGAGTTCCGCAAACGCTTTCGCTCGGGCGGCATGAACAACTGAGAGCTCATCCACGTGCTGGGACTTGCGCATGCGAACGAAGGACTCGAGATGCTCGAGTTTGTCCCAATCGCGAGCTTTGTACTTGCGCAAATCTTCTATCCTGGGCATCATGGTCAGTAGGAGCGCTCGCCACCAGGCCTTTCAGTAGCACGCGACGTACGTGGGCGGCTTGTTAGCTAGGAGATTAAAGAGGAGAATATCGTCATCCTTGTAGTCTTGCGCAGAGGGTAAATTAGGCACAGGCTTTGTGGGATCTGAGAAGCCTCGAGCAGGAGGAAGATACGTGTTGGTAGACCACATCGTCGTTGTAATGTACAATGGTGGTCACGTGGATATTTGAGGTACAGAAATTTAGGTTAGACCCTAGGTTGAAATTATTGACTGGAATGCAACGGCGCTTTGCACAATATGGCTCCAAAGAGTAAACAACGACCACAAAAGGTCAAACCTCAAAGGGTGTGTGGGTATCCTCGTGTATAATGATGTGATTATGATAGGACATAGACTGGTACGAAGAAAGAACACGCTTACGATCGTCCGACCCTCGCCCTCCCCAGACCGTCAGGAGCGAGCGACACCGAGCCAGACCTCTCTGAACAAGAACTGGACGTCCTAACATCCAACAATGTTACCTTCCTCACCACTCTCGATCAGAAGGGTATCTCCAAGTGTGTCTGATTGCTAATGCAATTGAGGAATCAGCTGATTGCGTGAACTACAGGAGTAAGAAAGAGATTGCCCGACTGCATAAGCTTGACAAGCCCGCAAGGCCGAAGGTGGAAGATGACCTGCCAAGTGTACACGAACATACGGATGATGAGTCTCCTTGGGAAGGAGTGGATGGGAATGAGGGCCTTAGTACCGACGATGAGGATGGAGACCTGGAAGGCGATGAGGACGTGTCTGCCCTGCGCGATGATGTACCCTCCGAATCGGACATCGAGAACACGTACGAGCTCAAATCCCGTAAACGGCGACGGGAATGGGAGGAAGAAGACTCTGCGCCCAAGGCCCCTGGCAGGCTGCCGATCAAGCTGGCTAATGGCCAGGTGAAGAAGCTTAAGGATGTAGAGGGACGACCCGTGCCCATGCCTTTGCCGGATTCTGAAGAGGAGGAGGAGGATTGGCCAGAGGAAACGGAGATCGAGTCTGATGCAGGGGATCAGGAGAGGCAGGAGGAAGAGAGGAGAGCAAACAACGTCGCTACTGGGGCTAGGTTTGGAAGGCTTGCCCCGGCTGCTGTGCTTTCCTTGCCTTCCAGAACGGAGAGGGTACAGAGAGCGAAGGAGCAGATAGCGAGCATCTGTCAGGACATTGTTGCCGATCCAGAAAACAGTGTGCGTCCTCTACAGGCTCATTCATTCCAGATACTTATGTTCTTGGCACATAGTTGGGTCTCCTCCGCCGGCTACAGACCTTCACACTCGCCGAACTGCCCTCCCCAGATGTCAACGCGCCTGCCGTACCGAACGACCCCCTGATCCGCAAACTCGCTCTCCTATCCCTCCTCTCTATCTTCACAGACATCGTCCCGTCTTACCGCATCCGTGGCTTAACGGAAAAAGAACAGGCGGAAAAGGTGTCCCAAATGGTTGCACGCACAAGAGAGTGGGAACAAGGACTCGTAATAGTGTATAAGGCCTACCTCGGGGAACTGGAGGGTGCGGCGAAGGCGAATAACGAAATGTCGGATACAGCAGTCCGGTGTTTGTGTACCCTGTTGACGGATCTCACCCACTTCAACTTCCACACGAATATCATGAGTGTTGTTGTGGCTCGCATCAGCCGCAGATCCTGGGACTCGGTGCGTCATCCAATCGGCCCTACCTGTACCTACTGATGTGGTCTTAGAACTCGGAATTGTGCAGAGAATCCATCGTCCGTGTCTTCCGGGAAGACGTCACCGGCCAAGCTTCACTTGAACTTGTACGTCTGCTCAACCGGATGATCAAGGAGCGCAAATTCCGCGTGCGTCCTAACGTTCTCTCCACCCTACTTTCTCTCCGTCTAAAAACGGAGCTTGGGCGGCCGGTGGACAGGCGGGAAGAGCAAGAGAAGGAGGGGAAGGGCAGGGATAGAGATAGGGATAAGGGGAAGAAGAAAGGAAAGAAGGACAAGACGTATTTAAGTAATAAGCAGAGGAAGGCGCTCCAGGAGACGAGGGAGATACAGAAGGAGATGGCGGAGGCGGAGGCACAAGTGGACGTAGAGGAGCGGGATAAGACTGTATCTTGCTTCTCAGATCTTTCTGACCTATGAACTGTTGCTGACGAGATTATGCAGCATACCGAGACACTCAAGCTCCTTTTTGTTCTCTACTTCTCAATCCTCAAATCCTCGCCTTCCGCACAGAATCGTCTGCTACCCGAGGCCCTCGCGGGCGTTTCAGCTTTCGCCCACCTGATCAATATCGACTTCTTCCGCGATCTGTTAGAGACGCTGAAGAAGATTGCGCGGGATGCGGATGGGGAGGGCGACACTGAGGGCGGGGTGACAGAAGAAAAGGAGGGCGAAGTGCGCATAGGAGGGGCAGAAAGCGAACTTGCACGAAAGTGCAGGACTAAGCTCCTCTGCGTTGTTACTGCGTTCCAGCTGCTCACAGGACAGGGCACGTCTCTCTTTCTTTGGGATGATTTGGGGGAAACTGATATTGCGTGAAAAATAGGAGAGGCACTTAACATCGACCTGGCGGAGTTCATCAACCAGTTATATGCTCTGCTTCCCGTGCTTGGGTTTGTAATACCCCTGGAAGTCGACACCGTCCCGCTTTCCACCAAGGCGACTGCCGACAATCACAATACTAAATCCGCTCCACCTCCTTCCTCTGTGCCATCTGTAACCGCCCTCCTCTTCCGCGCCCTGCATCTACTCTTCCTCCCTTCCTGGCACACGTCGGGCACTTCCTCGTCCCACCCACCTTCGCGAGTGCTCGCGTTTGCCAAACGCTTGCTCGCCCTCACGCTACTCCTTCCCCCTGCTCCTGCCATCCGAACACTGGAGTTTCTTCGCCAGCTTCGAGCGCGGGAATCCAAGTTGGATGGGTTATTCGAGGAAGCGGAGGAGGGCGGGGATGGAGTGTGGAGAGGGGAGGTGGATGACCCGGCTTTGGCAAATGGTGCTGCAGCTAGAGGTTGGGAAGTGGCATGGTTAGCTGAGAAAGGGGAGGAGAAGGTGAGAGAGAAGGCCCGAGAGCTGGTGGTATGGAGGAGAACGTAGACCGATAAAGACTCGTGCGGGGCAATGATGTGTGCACTTTGCTAGTAGCACCATACATCGTCTGAATGCTGGGTTATCGATGATTTTCATATCCTGTGTGGTGTGACACATCTTTCACCAAGAAGTTGCCTAACAATGACCCCTGGCGAGGTTTATAGGGCTACGCTATTTTACTCGGGTTTTCATTTCTTGCAGCAGCCAGCCGTATTAGCCGAATTTGATCCAGTACGGTCTCGATGGATTTAGTCTTGGCCCCAACTGGACTCGGACATGTTTGTGAGTTGAAGTGGGATTACGGGTCGTGTCGAAACAAGCGTCGAGAAGAAATAACATGGAAGCGCTACGTTCATGCTAAAGGGGCGGACAGAAGCCGGGCCTGCGCTGCGCTCACCGAGGCAGCACCGTGCCGCAGGCCGGGCGTCATTTCGGTGTGACCCCGCCTTAGCCAATAATGGGTGGTGCTGGCTTCACTCTAATGCCTTTGTTGAAACGTCTCCAAAGTTCGTCTGTACCTGACCGTCTCTGGCAATCGCTGGTAGAGAGTCTGCTCCTAATGTGAGATTCATGGAGACTCGGTGTATTTCACGGCGACCCTTGCACAACGTTATTGTGGTGAATAAGGGCAACAAGTTGATTCGAAGGTGCGCGTTGTGGAATGCGACATTAAGCGCTCATCGTCCCTGAGGGCCGGCCCTAAATGTGTCAAACTGATTCCGCATCAGTTACCAAAGGATCTGATCAGGCAAAACTTTGTTTTGCAATTCGTTCTGCTACTACTTCCAAGAACATTCATTCGCCCCTCTGATAAACCAGGTGATGGGAACAGAACGTGAGATATGAGATGCGTGGAATCCATTCCCATGCGATGAATACCTATATACCCGCGGGTCGCACATCAGTAATATGGCAGAACGTTTGTCCAAGACTTGGAATCCGATTGTTCATGTTGGCATATCAACTTCTCTGTGACAATCAGTCGTGCCTGACACATGCACGGGTTCTTCAATAATCATATCTCTATATGGCAGCACTCCGAAACCACAGTGGAAAGATTATCAACGTTTGGTGCGACGATGGTTTCCTTCCTTTACTGATTTCTTCGGCAGGTCTTCGTTCCTTTTTTCTTCCAGTCACCTCGGCGCGAACATAGCCTGATTCGGCATGATCTTTCTGGTCGACTGTTGCTGGATTTTCCGAGAAAGTACTGCGTATGGTGACCCCAATGGACCCGGCATGTTTGTGATTTGGAATAATCGTGGGCCTCGTATCTAAGCAAAATGTTGAGAACACTGCTTGAACACGGCGACAGAGGGAATTGCGATGCACAAATGAGAGGAGGCATAGCATGTCGTGTGGATGTTGGCCCACCGGAACAATGGTGCCGCCGGCCGAGCATCGCTTTTGTACGAGAGGCTGCGTCTTGCGCCCAGTTAGTCACAATAGGGGTTGAGCGCTGATGCACTGGCTTAACTCAATATGTCTATGCTGAAACGTCTCTAATCTGGTCTATGATGGTTCTGGCCGGTCTCTCACAGAGAGAGTCAAATCTATGCATAGTTTACATGCCAAGACTGAAGTTGTTTCATGGCAAACTCTGGTCAACGTCCCTGTTGCCGTTCAACAGCGATGACAAAGGCAACGTTCCATTCTAGCTTACTAGTGTTGTGATGGTGGCTTCGGCAGAGGATGTCATGAGCCTGTGACTTGACAGAGTTGGTTTCGATGCCGGCTCTCCGGGATTGCATATAAGGAGCAGAATATACGCTTTCTAGTCCTCACCCAACAGTCACTTCAGTTCGGTGCTGGTCACCTACTTACACTTACACTCCTCCACTTCTCTGCCTCTCACGCCTGCCGGTCAGGATCTTACGACTTTACACGACTTTCTTTACCACTACACTTGCCTCCACCGTTCTAACATCCACTCCAACCAAACACCATCATCATGCAGATCACTCCCGTCGTCGTTCTTGCCACCCTCACAGCCGGTATCGCTGCTCTTCCCACCCCGGAACCCCAGATTGGTGCGGGTCAACTCCGCCGCATTGAGCGGGCTGAGTTCCGCAAGGGCGAACGCATGGGCGAGCGGAGGGAGGCCCGTCGGATGGGAATTCGCTCGATCGATGACGACTCTGAACTAGCCACCCGGTCTCCCCAGCGCAACTCCTTCATCAGGCACGAGGAGCGCAAGATGTTCCTTGCCGGCGAGCGTGCTGGCGAGCGCAAGGAAGGACGCCGTCTCGGTGTTCGCTCGGTCGATGACGATGCCGAGCTCGACACCCGTTCCCCCCAGCGTGGGTCTTTCCTGAGGCAGGAGGAGCGCAAGATGTTCCGCGCCGGTGAACGCGCGGGTGAGCGCAAGGAGGCTCGCCGGTTCGGTGCTCGGTCGGTTGATGATGATGCTGAGCTCGACGTCCGCTCCCCCCAGCGCAACTCCTTCATCAGGCACGAGGAGCGCAAGATGTTCCTTGCTGGCGAGCGTGCTGGCGAACGCAAGGAGGGACGCCGTCTCGGTGTTCGCTCGGTCGACGACGATGCTGAGCTCGACACCCGCTCCCCCCAGATGGGCTCCTTCCTGAGGCAAGAAGAGCGCAAGATGTTCCGTGCCGGCGAGCGTGCGGGTGAGCGCAAGGAGGCTCGCCGGTTCGGCGCGCGGTCGGTTGAGGACGATGCTGAGCTCGACACCCGCTCTCCCCAAATGGGCTCCTTCCTGAGGCAAGAAGAGCGCAAGATGTTCCGTGCCGGCGAACGTGCCGGTG